GGGAGGGGGCACTCTGTGGTGGTGCCGCGTCCCGCCGGCCCCGCCAACAGCCACGGCCGTGCCTAGATCCCCTCGGCCACCGCCCGGGCTGGGCAGAGGCATCCTACCTTCGTGCTGGACCTCCAGGTGCACCGAGCACAGCACGCCCAGCACACGCTCCATGAGGGTTGAAGGTGCCTCTCCCACCATGTCCTGGGGGAAAAAGGGCTGAGGGACAGGGGCAGCCTTCACATCTTATTTCAAGCACAGTTCCCGCCAGAGCAGGAAGGAGAGATGCAGAAGCCAGCCCTGCTCTCAGCCCCCAGCCAGGCCCGCGGCTCACCTGCATGATGCCAAGTGTCTGCAGAGCTAGCTGCTCGGCATGGGGGGACACGCACAGCAGCACAGCAACGAGGCCTTTGTAGACTTGGTTCTGGTACTTGGGATTGCCACGGCCCAATGTGTCGAGCAGGACCTGCACATCTTCTTGAGCTTCTGCTGAGTTGGAAGTGGCCAAGAATTCAGCAAGGGATTGCACCCCTGTGCAGAGAAAGAGATGACAAGTTGTGTGCCTGGAGGAGCCAGCTGTCAACCCCAAGAAAACCCAGCACCACAGCCTGCTCAAAGTGTGGCTTGAAGAAAAGGAAACAAAGCTCTTTGTCATTCCAGGACTGGAAAAGCCGTTGGCTTCTCAGCGGGAATTAGGTGGCCAATGTTCTTCTGCGGGTGTACACACGAGCAGAGAGTCTAGCACTGGTCAAAAAGATACAAGCCACAAAACCCTCCCACCCCAGAGGGGAAGTCTGAGAAAGTCTGCCGTAGGTGAATGCTGCAGGTAAGAAGTGTTTTATGGTTTAACTGGAGCAGTTGCAACCAGCAAGACAGCAATATCACATCAAAAGACATGATTGTAAAGAAAGCGAGCTCATTAAAAACAGAGAGAGGGGATGAAGTGCAACCTCTCAACAATAGCAGGGACTCTGAACTCCTTCCAACCAGAGGAACGCTGCGGCAATCTGCCGCCTAGCAGGTGGAGGGAAGGGAGTGGCTCAGAGCGGCAAGCAGCCCCAGGGGCCAGAGGTCAGGGAGAACATCCTCGCCTGAATTCGGAAAAAGCACGGATGGACATGCCACCTACCGTAGCTTTCACAAATGAGCTCCTTATACTTCCTGCCAGCGCCTGCGACAAGCTGCAGCAGCTTTACAGACTCCCTTTTGTTCTCTTCTGTTAGGTGGTTCAGCCCTAGTATTTCCAGGAGAATCAAGACGCCGCCAATCTCCAGAAATTCACTAAGGTACCTGCGTCTGCGAGGATAGTGGGAACAAAGCCAGAAGCGTCACCTGCCTCAGACCCCGCTCTCCTCTGTCACCACACCGCGCTCCTGGGGACCATCTTCTCCCGCCTCCCAGCAGTGCGTGCCCGGAGCCCAGGCAGTGAACCCACGGAGCGTCAGCCTGGAGCACGGAGGCAGATGCCCACCAGCAGCACACTTTGCTGCCAGCACGTCACCGGCTCCTGTTTTACCCTCTGCTCATTTCAGATACTGAACCACGGGCACAGAAAGCCTCGTCTCCGCATTCGGACTCTCACCACAGTCCTTCCACACTGAAATTCCTACCACAAGCCTCACTGGGGCCTGCCTTGCCTGAAATTCTTACATGGCTCTCCCAAAAGATGGCCAGTTGCTATTTTCCTTATCTGCTCTGTGCCTTCCCCACATTCCATACGCACCCACTTGCAGCAGATAGGAAAATGCCAATGGACTTGAGCAACTTATTGAGGCAGGTGCTGTATGTGTAGCTGTTTGACAAGGCTAAGGAGGGATTTACAGACCATCATGGTGTCCCCCAGGCTGCGTTTGACAAGGTGGAGGTCTGAACTGGGTATTCTCTCCGTGAGAGAGGACAAATCTTCTTCTCAATATGAGAAAAACCATTAATTCTATGTCTCTGACAGACAGGTTACATGGCTTTCACTTCAGTTCCATCTTTAGATAGCCAGGGTTTTTTTTAACCCTGCAGGATATGGATGTCTCCATACAGAAGCTTATTCTTTCAAGAAATTTTTAGTAAAGAACTTTCCCCTCCTCTCAGTCCTGCTACCACACACCACACCCAGCTGTCCAAGGAAATGGATACGTCATCCCGAGCCATACTGTTAGGCGAGCCAGAAACAAGCTGGCTCCCTGGGAGAATTCCAGCTCCAGCTCTGGTTCCATCTTGCCATCATTGGTTTTAATGAAGTTGTCCAGGATTCGTCTTCGAGCAACTTTGTGGGCACTATCCCACTCCTGCAAGAAAACCATGAGCTTCTTGATAGCTTCCTGCTCTTTAACAGAAGTCATGTTCTCTTCTGCCTAGAGAAAAGTGAGAAAGAAGTTGAAACAGGGCTTTGAAAATAGAAAAAGTCTGTACTAAGGAATTACCACCAGAATAACATTTAAAATTTATGGCAAATGATATCAAAGCACTTACTAGCCATTAATCTCATTTTACTTTATACTCATTTCATAGATAGGAAAACAGAGGCAAAAGGAGAGTTCCTGGTATGTCTCAAGCTGCACAATGAATCTGTGACAGGCTTCAGATTATTTTCCAGGGCAGGTGGCTTCCCCACAGGAGCTCTCTGCTCTGCTCTGTTAATAAAGTCATTTTGATGTTACCCATTACCCCAGCCTTGGTTTCTCACTAGCCTCATGATGTGAACATTGCATCTCATATCTGACCTGCCACAGAATAAATAGGGTGAAATGAGAGCACAAATAGGTATGGATTTATGGGGAGTGACAGGGTCAAGGGGGCTGTAAATGCCTGTCAGCACAGCAGCGCAGCATGCCCTCGCTCACGTGATGGAGCGACAGTCATTTGGACTGGGCCCACAGTCCACTCTGGGAAGATGCGCTTGCCCTTGCAGTGCTTCAGGACCCTTTGGCGCAACAGACATCTGCTCTGTTTTTTTCCTTATCTAATTTCTGTGGCATGTTTTTAAAGAATTTAAGAAAACCTGGAAGGATAAGAACTATAGGCAAGAAGACAGAACCTCCAGAAACATCCCTTGCCTGCACCTCCTTCCATCCCTTCACACAGGTGTTAAATAAAGCAATCCATATTTTGCTCAATTTCTCTGGCACACTTTTGGGTCAGTGTGATATCCCTCAGTCCAGCTTGACAAGTGTGAAGGTGCAGTCAGTAGGGGAAAGAAACTCTGTTCGTTCAGGATGGTGAGAACTCCACTGACACATATGTGTTTGGCTTTAAGACACTGACCAGTCTCAAGGAGCCTCACAGTTAGACATCAGTATCTGTGTCCATACACAGCTGCAGAAAGAGGGCCAAGGTCACAGACAGCGGCATTAAAACAAGCGTTTTGTCCTCCACCGAGCTGTATCAACATGCCTGAGGATAAGAAAGGAATTCACGCCTTGTCTGATACACTTCTTGGACTTCCTACATAAAATAATCACAATTGTAGGTTTTATTTCAAGTGTAGTTGAAAAGAAAAAAGAAAGTTAGAATTACACAAAATCTTTGAGTTTCAGAATAAGAAGTTTCTTTCAATGTAATACAAGTCACCAAGACTACCAGTTTCCTATCTACAAAGTTCTTAAGACTTTTCTCCTAGAATCTGGAGCAAAATTCCAAACCAGTTCCAGAATATGCCCAAGACACCTGAACAAAAGTAACTTGCTATTGCTAGTAGCTGAATCAGGCTGAAAGCACCTACCAAGACGTGAACGTGGTACCTCAGGGCCTGAAAACAAACAAAGTCTTCACAGAGCTGGCTAAGAAACGATGTTTCAGAATTAAAAGGAGATGAAATTTCACTCGCGAATTAACAGTCTGTGCTCTGTAAGGAGCCTGTGTCCTTGGCAGGGTGTTTTCAGGATCTCCTTTGCAGGGAAGTAGTTTAAAATAAATCCATTTTCCCAAAATAGTTGTGATTGAAAATGTTATTAGCCATAACAAATGTTAGTGCTGACAGGAGAATGGCCTGTTAGGGGCCTCTGGTGAAACAGTCAAGTGAAAGTCATATTTCACATTATTGCGAGCATTTTCCTGTGATTTACAGAATATTTGTGAAACATTACTTGCAAGGCATATGATTGATATTGAGAGAACAGCCAGTGCATAGGAGGAATCTGTATTTCACAGGGACTGTTTGCATGAAATTTACAGTCCCATAAAGTGCTCCTCTGTCCTTAACAGAGATCTAGTTAAAAGAACTTTACAGTCTGAAACATCCCAAAATTGATTCTAAATTAACGTTTTCATATTTATGGTTAAGATGCTGGTGGTGTAATTCTATCCTGGTTTTTATTATAAAGCTGCAGTATCCCCCCACTATTCAGAAACACCAGCACCAGCCTCTGGATGTGATGATTTTAGTGATACAAAGGGCTTGCCTGTGAATCAATGGCAAAAAAAAAAGGAGTTTGAACAATGATAAAATGAGGCTTCTGAGAATACAGTGATATCTGTCCCTGGCTGCTATAATAACAGCATCTGCTGACATTGCAAAGTACCCTGAAAATGTACATGAACATTTTTATTATGACCAGCTTACATATGGAAACATACAGACGCAGGGAAGTTAAATGACTTGCCTGAGTTGTTTGTCAGTGCTAGCAACAGTGCATAACTCCTGGCTGTTGGCTTCAAACTCTGCTCTCGACAGTGCTGGGCTGGCACCCCAGTCTACTGGACCCAATAATCAAAACAAGGCTGGGTCAGAGCAGTGCTTTACTCCTGCCAAGGAAAACACAAGTGATTTAGGAACTGGCTCTGACAATTCAGCCCTTCTTTACATCCAGAGCGCTGCTAAATCATCAGACTGAGATCAAAAGGCAGGCTGGTGCTGCGTCAGCCCCAGTCCGAGTGTGAGGTGCCAGGGACTGATAGCCTTGGACTCCCGGAAGGACAGGGTGACGGTGGTTTGGAGTTACCTTTGCATCTTGCAACATCACGGTCATGCCCAGCCTCAAGCAAAATGCAGAGCTTCTGCCTCCCTAGCAGGTTTCACCCTCTCCTGGTATACCTGAGGTCCCCCCAACCCTCCTCACACACAATGCACCTTCCTCAGTGTGCCCTGATGTCTTCTACCCAGACTCTATCAACCCACAGCCCTGCCGGCCCCTCCCTCACCTACACGTCCTGCCTCCAAGTCCCCGGCCACAACCCCAGACCCAGCCCTGCGCTCCCCTC